CACACACACACACACACACACACACACACAGTGTGACACACACACACACAGGTCCTCTCTCTCTCTCTCTCTCTCTCTCTCTCTCTCTCTCTCTCTCTCTCACACACACACACACACACACACACACACACACACACACACACACACACACACTGTCACGGCAGCTTAAGCCATGCTGCAGAAAGCATTTCACAAAGAGGAAGCACACAGCCCTCTGAAGTGGCATTGCATGAGTGGACCTGATGAGTCGCAGACTGTTCTTCTGTGCTGACACTGTTGTACACACGATACAACCTATGAGAGCCAGGTCCACATCTTCTTACAGCTTGCTCTCAGAGCCTCTCATCTTCATCGCCACAATTGACATTCAAACAGTTGCCTTCACATCAAATGTATGACAACATTGACGTTCTGAAGAAGGCTACCTCCTGCTCACAGACTCACGTCCAATCCGCTACACTACAAATATGAAAACCCGCCATCGGGAACATTTTCGTGGAGAAAACGTGGCTTAGGAGACGGTGAGATGCGCAAATCCAGGATATATCAAAATGCACAACTTCAAAATTTGAAACGATGTCTGGCCAAGATAAACCAGATAGCTTAACCATGGGCCCATGGTGGACTTCCTTTAGCAGACATAAGCGAAAAGCCAACTACGAGGCGATGCAAAAGTGTCTACCGCGTAGAGCGACAGACAAGAGGGGTATGAATGCAAAAGTGTCTACCACGTAGAGCGCCAGACAAGAGAGGTAAGAATGCAAAAGCATTGGTTGAATCGTTCTAAAGAGGATATGGAGAGGAAGGAGACCACTAGAGCTGCCAAAGAAGCTGAAAGAAAACAGGGCTGCACGCGGGGAGAATGGGAGAGAAGACCGTTAATCCTGAGATAGATAAGAGAGCAATCACCTGAGAAGATCCCTGCTACATAGAGTGCTCTTCGCAGCCCTGTCATCTACATAGACATAACCTGCTGCACCATACCAGGTGATTGCTGGAGAAGCTCCCTGAAGTTGTTTTCAATCTCCTTCATTTGCCGCTCAAGGTACTCCTTCCTCGACTGCACACGCACAAGGAAAGACAACCAAACACATATGAAGTTTATGAACATATGAACATATGAACCTATGAACCTATGAACATATGAACACAGGGCTATGATGGCACACTCCCATTCCCATCCCCCCAACCAAGATACTCCCTTGACTTTGGACAGCAAGACAAAACAGCCGAGCGTGCACCTATGAGTGCACACACACACACACACACACACACACACACACACACACACACACACACACACACACACAGAACCTTCTGACGAGTAGGTGAAAGTCCGACGAAACAGTCTGGCATAGGCATGCTTTTTCGTGCGGAGACTTGAGTTGCAAATAGTGAACATGACAACACACACACACACACACACACACACAAACACACAAACACACCGGCAAACACCAGTACACATCCACACCCCTGCACCCACACACAAACACAGTGTGTACGCATCACACAAGGGCAGGTGCCTCCCCCGCCCAACACACACACACACACACACACACACACACACACACACACACACACACACACACACACGAACATTGAAAGACAGACGATAAGCTGGCTCGCTCTATTTCTTTTCTGAGATATTCCTTAGGTTCTGCACACTGTGATTGCTGTGTCCCTTTCCTTTTCCTCTCTTTGTGCTCAATGTGCAGTAGCGCACGTCAAGGCATGCAGAATACCTCAGCGGGGCCTGAGGAAAGTGTGTTCCGTACAATTAGGGGTGCTGGCATATTCGGTCTGCCTCTGTCTAGAAGTAAATTGTCCCCGTGACAGAATTGCAGAATTGCCCCTGTGCCTCGCTGGCTATCAAGGGTGGTGGCAGCGTCCGATCTGCAGAATCCCTTTGCCGTTTGACGTAAATGACCAATGGTTCCACTTTGTTGTTGCTTTCTTACGAATGCATAGCTCTCTTGGTGTCTGGCTGGGCTGCTGCTTGAGTGGCTTGCTGGGCTGCTGGCTGACCTTGTTTCCTTCCTGCCTTCCTTGCTGTTTACCAACCTGCCTCAGCAGAGAGAGAGAGAGAGAGAGAGAGAGAGAGAGAGAGAGAGAGAGAGAGAGAGAGAGAGAGAGAGAGAGAGAGAG